TTCTTCAATCTCTCTTTTTCTCTCTCTCTCTCACTCTTTCTTTTTTCTCTCTCTTTCTCTCATCCTCTTCCATTCCTTCTCTTTCTGTTTATCGTTCTCTTTTTTCATTTCTTTTTAATTATTTTAATTTTGTAATTTCTCTCTCCATTGACATTTGTCTCATTGAATCATCCCAAAAGTAAAGAATTTTTGTGGTTTCAGGCTGTTGTATCGCACAAGCAATGCCACGGTGTCCTGGTTCGAATCTCCTCTAATCTACACGACATTTCAAGTTATTTATTACGAGCCAATAATCTTCGCAACTAAACAGACCAGTGAGGTTTTTCTATTCCTGGGAGCATTGGGATCAGGATTCGCATCCCTATTAGCCAGCTGTTTCATGCCGACAATGCTGCCAATCAGCTGATTGACAGCCGGAACGCCAGCTTCCGGATTCATGTTCTTCCTCCTCCGCGCTCCCAACTCGTGTAAGCGCCGGTGGCCGTACTCTTTTATGAGTACCTGTCATCATAATCATCATCACTGTCATCATTTTAATCATCATCATCATCGTCGGCATCATCGGCATCATCATCATCATCATTATCTTAATTAACGTTCGTCGTTGTCGTCATCATCATTATTACGTCACCAACTTCCGCTTCCGGGTGGTCCCTGAGTGCTGAGAGGACGTCGTCTCTGGACAGAACGATCAACTCTGAGTAACCAACTGACCGTACGTCTGCCGTGCGTCTGTGATGATGATGATGATGATGATGTTCTAGTTAATGGTGGAAATAGTGATGGTGATAACGATGTTAATGATGATAGTCGTGATGACTGTGACTATGATGCCAACGATGCTGTATAGCATTGCCAATAATGAGTCTCTTTCTATACCTCCGATGAATGAACTGACCGTATATTAAATTTTGTTGTTATTATTATTATTATTATTGTTGTTGTTGTAATTATTATTATCATTACCATTATCATTATTTTTTTTTATTTATTTGTGTTATTATTATTATTCTTATTATTATTATGACGATGATTGATCACGAGACTGACTTGTTGACGCCCCCGTCCATATTCAGTATGCCTATCTCGCCGAAGAAATCGCCGGCACTCATCTTCGACAGTATCTCACCATTCTCACTGATGATGATGATGATGATGATGATGATGATGATGATGATGATGATGATGATGTAGGTGATGGTGATGATGGTGATGATGATGTAGGTGATGATGATGTAGGTGATGATGATGTAGGTGATGATGATGTAGGTGATGATGATGATGTAGGTGATGGTGGTGATGATGATGATAGTGATGATGATGATAGTGGCGATGATGATGGTGATGATATAAGTAAGGGTGATGATGATAGTAGTGAAGAAAATGATGATGGTGGCAAGGAAGAAGAAGAAGATGATGATGAGGGAGGAAAAAACGAAGATGATGATAATGTAATCATCACATTTCATCATCACCGTTATTGTCCGCACCTTCATTATTTTCATCATCATCATCATCATCCAGCTATCATCATCATCCTCCTCATCATCATCATCCTCATCATCACCTGATAACTTCTAGCAGACCATCGGCGATGATGAACATCTCCCTGGCCACCTCTCTGATTGGTTGATTGAAAATTCAGAATTTATATAGCGGTCAGTTTTTTTTGTCGAATAATCATAAAAATAGTTTAATAAATCATCTGTTCTATTATCAAATTTTTAAAAAATTTTAACCGATCTATCATGGCTCAATAACTAAAGCAATAAATCATCTACTCATTCAACTATACGCTCTCTCATTCTATTGTTCTTTCATTCATTCATTCGTTTGTTCGTTTGTTCGTTCATTCGTTCGTTTGTTCATTCATTCATTCATTCATTCGCTCATTCATTTACTCATTCACTCGCTCGCTCACTCACTCACTCACTCACTCACTCACTAACTCACTAACTCACTCACCATCTCACTCACTTATTCATTCATTCATTCGTTCGTTCATCCATCCATTCACCCGTTCATTTATTCGATCGTTCATTCATTCAATCATTCATTTACCCTTTCCGGCAAATGAGATCTCCTGGGGTGAATATATAAGTCCTCATCTTCAAAACTAGGTCATGTAAAAATTCAGGCTCACACTCGTGAAATATCGTGACCTAATTAGGTAGAGGACAATGAGAATGACGAAAATATTAATTAAAAAAAAATCACCATTATCCTCTTCATCATCATCATTTTTATCTCCATTTATAAATCATCATCATCAACAAATTCATCATAAACCTCATCACCATCATCATCGTCGTCATCATCATCATCATCACTTTTCTGAGTGTTTCCAGGTTGACGTGTAGCGCCAATTCTGTCTTCAACTTATCTGGGAGGATTCCCAACGCGTTGATGTCCCCGCCCCCGTTCATACATCCTCTTGTTGATTGGTTGGTTGATTGATTGGTTGGTTGGTTGGTTGGTTGGTTGGTTGGTTAGTTGGTTGGTTGGTTGGTTAGTTGGTTGGTTGGTTGGTTGGTTGGTTGATTGGTTGGTTGGTTGGTTGGTTGGTTGGCTGGCTGATTGATTGGTTAGTGGATTGATTGGTTGATTGATTAGTGATGTGATTAGTTGACTAGTTTGTCGCTTGGTTTTCAAATAACTATTGATTTTATCATATAGTTCAAACTGACAGAACATTCAATAATTCTAATTTATTAATTCCTAAAAGTGTCAACATGTAGACACGCTTAAATCCGCGCCTTGCATTCAAAGCCAGTCACAAAGGCATCAGCAACGGACGCCCTAACCATTACGCTATCTTGCCATACATCGGCAGTATGATGTCACAGAATACATCACATACAACAACACGTTAAAAACATTCAATCGATGGGATAATGGCAGTGCATTTGTTGTTGTTGTGGTTGTTGTTGTGGTTGTTGTTATGGTTGTGTTTGCCGTTGTTGTTGTTGTTCTGGTTGTTGTTGTTGTTCTGGTTGTGGTTGTTGTTGTTGTTGTTGGAAATTGATGGTCTAGCAAGAACTCAATTATCAATCCTCAAAGAGAAAAATAGATGGACAGTAAGAAAGAAAGAATGATGCAATAAAAAAGGAAAAAATATACAAAGAAAACGAAAAGAAAAAGAGAGAGAGAGAGAGAGAGAGAGTTGAAACGCGGAAGAGAGAGGGAGAGAAAGAGAAAGAGTGTGTATAAAAATTCAAATGAATGAATAACGAAGTTAGAGGCAACAAATGACGTCTAAAATAAAAGTTAAAAAAAAATGACAATAAAAAAAATGATCGACTGTAGTCTGTCATAAAAGCTGAGTGAATGAAGAATCGAAATCAAGAAGGAAGTTAAAAAAATGAGAGAAAAAAGAGAAAGAGAGAAAATGAGAGAGAGAGAAAGAAAGAGGGGGAGGGAGAAAAAAGAGAGTGAGAAGGAATTAACGAGAGAATGGAAGAAGGAGAAAAAGAAATAGAGGTAGAAAAAAAGGTGGAGAGAGAGAGAGAGAAAGATAAAAGGAGAGAAAGACACAATGAACAAACAAAAGAAGAAGAGAGAAAAGGAAAGAAAGATAGAAAGAAAGTAAGATAGACAGAAAGAAGAAATGAAAGAAGGACAAAAGTAATGAAAGAATGTAGATGAAAAGTGACTGAGAATTAGAGTAAAATATCTTAAATGTAAGAATCCGCTAATGCAAGATAGTTGTCGCGTGTTTTTTATCCTTGGCTTATTATGGTACTTCTTAGTATATCTTTGTATGTCTAAGTATACCATTGTATCTTTTTGTATATCTTTGTATGTCATTACATATCTTTGTATCTTTATGTATATCATTGTATCTCTTTGTATATCTTTGTATGTTGGTATCTACAAAAAGTATCGCCAGTTTGTATTAAATGCGTATCAAGTATAGCAACAAAATTTGTTTGTATAAAAGTCTAATATTTCACAAGCATTTTATTACCTTGGTTTATTGGTGTCTATTTATAACATTGCAAAAGTTCTCTGATATATTGTAATACATCGTGATACATTGTAACTATTTACGTTTATGTGTATGTGTGTGGTGTGTGGTATGTGTGTGTGTGTGATGTGTGTATGTGTGTATTTTGCCTCCAGATGTCATACAAACCAGCCATACGTCTATGGCTGTTTAAGTTTTGGCGACTAAAGTGTTTGTTTATTTTGTGTGTGTGTTTGTATGTGTGCATGCGCGTGTGTAAACATGCCTGTATGGGTGTGTGTTTATGTGTGTATATTTATGTGTATGTTTAATTACAATTGTCTAGAGTTTATAATTTTATATACGATCTTACGATGTGGTATGTTTATGATTTCGTTGAAAGACGTTTATGCAAGTTAATAAATGTTTATGTTTTCGTGTTTTGTATGTTTACGGTTATGTTTATATTCATTGCTAAGCGCGTGTATGTGTATATGTGTGTGTGTGTGTGAGTGTTTGTATGTGTTTGTGTGTGTGTGTGAGTGTTTGTATGTGTGGTGCGTGTGTAAATGTGTGTGTGTGTGTGTGTGTGTGTGGTGTGTGTGTTTATGTTTTCAGGCATGTGTTTTATTTTCTGCAAATAACTTCTGAGTCCTATAAAAGGGCGGTAAATTTTAATTTCAAGGGAAATAAACTTTCTTATTGTGTTCTGACAGCTTTCCAGCAAAATATTGCTTTAATAAACGTATGCTTTTTGTTCGTATGAGTGAAAACCTTTATGTTTGTTTGTATGTTTGTTTGTTTGTCTGTCTGTTTGTTTGTTTGTCTGTTTGTCTGTGTTTGTATCCTAGGTTCATGTGTCTGTATACGTTAATGTATGTTTATATATTTGTGTGTATGTTCATGTATATGTTTGTTTATAAGTATGTGTATGTGTACATAGATATGTTTGTGTGTGAATTTCTATATGCATTCATTTAAACCTATATGTACCGGCAATATATGTATTTATATAGAATTAAAAGCAAATACCTGAATGCATAACTACCTCTGGAATACACGAATACCAAAATCATACAAAAAAATACAAACTAAGCATTGTGTGAAAATAAATGTAGTCAAGTGTATGTATATTCATCATGTTTTGTTGCTAAAAGTGTGCGACATGAAAATGTTTTTAAAGTATTGCCGTGTTTTGAGTTGATATCATTGTTGTTGTTGTTTCTGGTGTTGTTGTTGATGTTGTTGTTGTGTTGTTGTTTTTTTTGTTGTGTTGTTGTTGTGTTGTTGTTGTTGTTGTGTTATTGTTAATGTTGTTGTTAATGTTTTGTTTGATTTTAATGTTATAGTTTTGGTTGATGTTGTTGTTATTTTCATTACTTATCATATTATTTTCTTCAAAGGCAAATGAATTTAAAAGTTTATCTAATAAAATTAAAAAATCAAACAAAACAAGACTCAGTTTTCGAAACCAAAAAATAGAGGTCATCAAAATTTTTTAATAACATCTAGAAATAAAAATTAATTATCTTGCTAAATATTATAATAATATAAATATAGAATAATTTATTATTGTGATATTTTGCTGAATAAAAGAATTTTTAATTCAATTCAATATTATGATTACTCCCGTGAACATTAATTAGACCAATTAATATGAATCAGGCTAACTAATATCAATAACCTGGACCAAGCGTAATCGTACCAGCGTTGAACATGCCGCTGCATCTCGTCTGGAACGCTGTGATGACGCATGTAAGATTTGGCCCCGTCCTTAAAATGAATATTAATTATAATAAATTATGATAATTAGTCTAATTATTGGATATTGTTTTTAATAATTAGTTTAATTATCACAAATTATGTTTTTTAAATAATTTTTTAAAATATCAATTTATAAATTAGACTGTTTTTAAATTGAAATTTTCAAGTTCGAGCAAGCTTACTACCCGTGCAACACACTTGAAAATGTTAGAAATATGAAGTTTCCAAGTCCAGAAATGAAAGAAATATGCGAAAAGTAAAAAAACTAAAAAAAAACAAATGAAAAATAATGAAAAATTAGGAGAAACCACGTGATAGGAAAGATCTGTTCGGGTATTTTTTAATTTTCTCAACTGTCATAAAGCAAGTGGGAAAAATTACAAAAAATTTCACGCATTTTTGAAAATAAAAACATTTTTTTTGATGATTTTTCTGTAAAAAAAAAGTATTTGATGACAAAATCTTCAATAAAACTACGATTAGTCGTCAACATTTTGGCAAAAATGAGACAGAGGTGAGAATTATTCTGAATAATGAATGAGAAGAAAACTCTGTTGAAAATAACAAAAAAAAGCTTTATTGAAATTTGATAGATGTGATTTATTTTAAGATGCGGCTAAAATAAATGAACATTCGGAGAATTAAAAAATCTTTCGTTGGGCAATGATGACAATAATGACGAAGATGACGATGAAGACGCTGATGACGACAAAGATGAAGCCGAAGATCACGACGACGATGATGACGACGACGATGATGGTTTCTGAAGGCGAGCAATAATTGATGCGTTGATGAGAAAAAATGTCAACTTGTTTTTGCGACAACCTTCGCTGAAATTTGATTCCCCGCATATTTGCGTATCTTTATTTTCTGACGTTCATGTATACAAATAAATACACATGATGTTTTGTTTTGTTTTTCATTTTTATGTGTGTCGGCATTTGAAGGTTTGTATTTTTTTTGGAGATATAAGCAATCCACCTGATTGGGTATGCTCTAATAAAAGTTTATGTTTCTATTTGTAAATTTGTGCGCATGAAATGACTGTGTGTGTGAGAGAGAGAGAAAGTTTATACGTTGTTTGTATATGTGTGAGTGTGCGTGTGTGTGAGTGTAAAGTGTGTGTGTACACAAACACACCATCTTTTGCATATAATAACAGTATTTATTTGAAAAAAAATTTGAAAAAATTTGGCAGTCAAAAATTTTTTTACAGCCCAAAACGCCCATTAATACGATATAGTACATGTGTTTAAAGAAATATACAACCAGATTGAACACGTATGTACGTTTGTGTGTGTGTGTAGACATACAGACACACACACACACATACACACACACACATACACACACACACACACACATGTCTCACATCTATCAGAAGAAATTGAAGCAAGATACCGGAATTGGAAAATGTATTTTTGAAATTGGAGGTTCTACGCCAAGATTTATTGTACACCAATCTTATCTTCCCCGTTTTTACAATCTACATTCACTTTCAGTTTTTTATTTGTTCGTTTGTCTTACACTCTGCATATTTATTTCATTTTTTTTAATTATATATTCATTAATTCATTAGTAATTAATGAATTAATGAATGAATTAATTAATTCATTCATTCCTTCCTTCGTTCGTTCGTTCGTTCATTCATTCATTCGTTTTTATATCTTAATTGCAATCTAACGAAATGGAAAGATGAATTGATTTGATGATATATGATAGTTATCCGGGCTTCTGTCTAACTTTTTTTTGTTTTGTTCATTTTTTGCAGCTTATTGGCCAGTCATTTTTGTAAGAAAAGATCATCATGACAACTTAATATACCGATGTTTTAGTTTTAAGGAAATTTTTTCACACACGCACAATCACGCACACACATACAAACACACACCACACAAACACACATACACACACACACACACACCGTAATCAAAATACAAAATGAACACCAATCAATCATTCTATAAAGGTATATACACATACTCAATAATACACAAAATGATAAAAATGAATAGCAATATTTAAACTCAGACATTTTTATTTTTTATCAGCACATAATCATACAAGCAAATTCTACACACACACACACACACACAAACAAACAAACACACACACACACACATAGCATACCATACCATCAGAGAGCAAAATAAAAATAAATTCCTGAATACAGAACATGTAGCAGCAAATCATACCATACCAACAACACAATTGGATTAAAGATTTGTTGTGTAGATTAACTTTTAAACGCTTGGACTCGATCGATTGTTTGGACTGAGTAACATTGCATCGTGCCTCCGCCCATTTATAATTATGCAAACATACACACACACGCACGCACGCACACATATACACGTACACACACACACATACACAAACACATATATATGAACCCATAATTGATTAGAACTATAGGGAAGTAATAATCATATCCGGGTTCAGCTTTAATCTATGTTAAACGCTTCGCACAGACAGGTATTTTAACGCTCCATCCAAAATACAGAAAGAATTATATTTTTGAAGTAAAATAGAAAAAGATTGCTTTACATAACTCTTATCTAATGGGTCACCCGATACTTCTACAATCCTGCTACAGAGCTCATTCAGAAAACTCTGAGTCTGAGCATCGGTTGGACCAAAGGTCTCAATGCAGACTGGCTGAAAAATTTTGCTTTCTGCAAGAGCCGCATATTTTGAATTTTTAAAGTTTGCGGCTCTTAAGGCAGCGGCACCCGCCTCCTGTGAGGTAAGATTAATGTACCTTTCAGCTATGGTGTGAGGGAACGTAACATCCCAAGCAAAGGAACGTCCCTGCGCCCATGGTGAAATAGTATACCCATCGGGCCTGAGGCTACCTTCCTCCTTAAGACCCGTGTGTTTTTTAATTGTGGGTATGTTTGTCCTCTGAAAGCACCTGACCAAAAAGTCGTTCATGGCCGAGTGTCGAGCCTGTCTACCAGGGCCCAATCGACACGAAAGACCATGGTAGCCCAGGGGTTCAACATTGGCCCCACATAAACAAACATACTCGGTTAAAATGGGTAAACCGAGTCTCAGTCCCAAACTGACACGAACACAAGAGTCGTCCAGCCTGGTACCATAGGTAACACATATATAATGTATATACAAGCCTACACACATATATACAAGCATACACACATCAATACGCACTCACATACAGACACGCACACACGTACGTACGGAATGTTATACATATATACAATTACACACACGCATTTGTATATTTAAATTTACAATTCTACCTAAACAAACACACAGATACACACACACACAAGTACACAAACGTACACTTTAACGTTTTAACACTGTTTAACTGTTTCAATTTTGGCTGGTATATAGGTCAGATGATTAAAACTACTACTACTACTACTACAACTACTATCTCTGCTAAAACTACCACAACTATTACTACTACTGTTACCACTACGACTATTACTATTACTACCACATCTACTACTACTACTACAGCTACTACTTCTACCATCGCTGCTATCATTATGATTACTACTACTACTACTACAATTAGTATCAATACTCTAAATAACACTACTCTGACTATTAGAAGTACTTATGTTGCTACTACTAAAACTTTTACTGCTTTCATTACTACTATTGTTATTTAAATATCTCGATTAATTGCAACGCATATTTGCGCCGTGTAAATGTTCGCAAATTGTGTGTCTATGTGTGTATGTTTCTGTGTATGTGTGTTTATGTGTGTGCTTATGCATGTGTTTATGTGTGTATGTGAATGTGTAAGCTTATGTGTGTTCGCTTATGTGTATAGTGATGATGGGATGATTGTTTGTATGTATGCGTGTCCATGTGATGTTAATGTATACGTGTATGTATGTATGTGTGTACATGTATGTGTGTATGTGCGAGTATGTGTGTGTGTGTGTGTGTGTGTGTATGTACGTATGTGTGTGTGTGTTTACAGTTGTGTATGTGTGTGTGTAGGCCTAAGTAAATATCAGCATCATTAGTTTTACGCTCATCAAAATTGCATCGTAAAAGTTCCACCGCTAGTATTAATGATCGAAATAACGACTTGAACATGCCGATTGTGTTTGTTCGGTGACGTTTGTTTGTAACAATCGGGCAATTTATGTGTGACCGTCATCGTAATTGTCATCAATTTTGACATTAATATCATCATCGTCGTCATCATTTTCGTCATTCTCGGTTTCATCATCATCATCCTCACCATCATCGTCATCATCATCATCCTCACCATCATCGTCATCATCATCATCCTCACCATCATCGTCATCATCGTCATCCTCACCATCATCGTCATCATCATCATCCTCACCATCATCGTCATCATCATCATCCTCACCATCATCGTCATCATCATCATCATCGTCATCATCGTCATCATCATCATCATCGTCATCATCATCATCATCATCATCAGCAGCAGCAGCAACCATCATCTTAATCTTCATCAATTTTTTTATGATCGTTATCATCATCTCATCTTCATCTCGTCTTCGTTGTCGTCATAATATCATCATCATCATCGTCGTTGTCCTCAACTCACCAAGAGCCTTTCAAATTCTTGTCTGCTTGCATTTCTATTCGTTATCACATTGCCAACTTGTCCTGATTGGAGAAATGAAGTTGATGATGAAGATGAAGAAGATGAAAATGAAAATGACAAAGAGTGATGAAGAAGAGGAAGACGATGATAATGACGTGATGATGATGAAAATGATTATGACGTCATTGAGTTTAACGATAACGATAATATATATATATATATATAAAGATATATATATATTTATATATATATATATATATATATATATATATATATATCTTTATCATATAAAGAGAGAGAGAGGGAGAGAGAGAGAGAGAGAGAGAACAATAACAACAATAATAATGACAACAACGTTGAAAGAGATTATGACGTGACAGGGACGTCACCGAAAAAATTTCTGACAATGCAGCAAGAAGAAGAATAAATTTTATGAGTGATGACAACAACAATAATAATAAATAATAATAATAACAATAATAAGAAATAATAATAATAACTATAATAATAAAAAATAATAATAATAATCAAGCTAACCGACAATGGTGGCAAAGACGAAGACACCGATTAGGTAACTGACTATGGTGAAAACGTGTCTGTCGATGATGATGACGATGATGAGAATGAGGGTGATGGTGACGATGATGACGATGATGGTAATGATGATGGATGTGATGATGACGATGATGATGGTGATAGTAATAATGATGATCATTATTGTCGATTTCAATTTGAAGATAAAGTTTTTCAATCAATCCTCAAGCTTCATCAATCAATCGATCAATCAATCAATCAATCAACTGTACAATCAATCATACAAACAACCAACTAATCAACCATTTAACGAACCAACCAAACAAACAAAAAGCAAACTTTTCAATCAAACAAACAAACCAAAAATAAATGGTTTGACAATAAATCGATAGACTGATCAAGTGATCATAGAAACGAATCGTATCAATCAAATTTCACTTGAATGTAAAAAAAAGAGAGGTGTTTTTTGTATGTTTATGTTTGTATGTATATTTGTTTTATATGTGTGTTTATTTGTTTGTTAATAAGTTTGTTTGTATATCAACTTAATTTCTATGCATAAATGTTGGCATGTAAGTTATTTAATTGCATGCTTAACGCACCTTTTTTTAGGTTTATGAAATCTTTGTTTGCACATGTATCATGCACATATGTGTTTGTATGTATATGTGTGTGTATTTTTGTGCACTTCACGTGTTTGTGTTTAATAATAATAATAATAAAATAATAATCAAATACTAATAATAATATTAATAAAAGTTAATATTAGTGATTGATGAATAGAAGAACGACAATGTTAGCTCTTCCATTGTTCCGTCACTCAATCAAAAAAAAAGTTATTGCCTTACTGTTGAATGACTGATTGAATGGATGGATGGATGGATGGATGGATGGATGGATGGATGGATGGATGGATGGATGGATGGATGGATGGATGGATGGATGGATGGATGGATGGATGGATGGATGGATGGACAAATATCTCATTTTTTCACAGTTTAATAAAAAAAATGTTAAAATTAATTTAAGTGCAGACGCAACGACAAGTTTTTCGACGGACGCACACATACACACGCACATCCACACACACATACGCACACACACGCACATTAGTAGAAGCATTTGAGCGGGAAAAGTGGAAAGAGTGGAACGTTAGTAAGATTAAACCATAAAATAGTACTTTACTTTATATATATATATACAAATATAAACTTAAGCACTATATATATATATATAAATATATATATATATATATTATATGTATGTGTGTGTGTGTTGTGTGTGTGTGTTTGGGCAATATTTGATAAAATCTACCGGATTTTTAGTTTTTGAAAGTTTACGCCTGAGCTTTTCAAATATTTCTAACGGTAATTTTATAATTATTATCCAATTTATTGAAATTAATGAGAAAACCGCTGGTGTTTATGATGAAGCGTGTTAGTCCTATTTCGATTTTACTAATCATCGGTGCTTATATAGGAATATTTCAGGGTTTCACAATCCTCTGTGTGTGCAAAGTGCTTCAATCTGCTTTGTCCTGTCAGTTTATTATATCTTTGTCTTGTTCATACTCCCTCTCTTTTTCTCTTTTTTTCTCTCTCTCTATATATATACAGGGAGAAAGAGAGAGAAAAAGAGGGAGAGAGAAGAGATAGTAAAATAATGAGAGAAAAACAGAGGGAGAGAGCATGAGAGAGGTGCGTATTAGCACACATAAATTGCATTGGAAGTACGCCTTTTGGGGTATATTTTGTGTGTCTATGTGTGTGTATCGCGTGTGTGTGTGTGCGTATCTATCTGTCTGTCTGTGTGTAAGTGTGTGTATCTGTGTGTGTGTGTGTGTGTATCTGTGTGTGTGTGTGTGTGTGTGTGTGTGTGTTATTATCCTCATCATGATCATGATACGAGCGCAGTAGCCAAACTTCATTAGGGCATCATAAATTCTATTCTATTGGAGGAATTGTTTGTTATGATGACGTCATCGTCATCATCGTCATCGTCATCATCATCGTCAATGTCGATGATGATGACGATGATTATGATTATGATAGAAATGATAATGATGATGTTGAAGACGATGTTGATATTGAGATAAATTTCATAAATGTAGTAGTAGTAGTAATAGTAGAAGCAGCAGCAGTAGTAGTAGCAGCAGCAGCGGCAGTAGTAGTAGTAGCAGCAGCAGCAGCAGTAGTAATAGTATATATATATAAAAAATGTATGACGGAAATGAAAGTGATAGACCTAGAGCAGCAATGATTGCAAAACCATAGATAAAATATTGAAAGCGATATTACGTTGAATCAACCGATGGATAAAGTATCTCTAGATGAAAAAGCACAACTCGCGGACAAAACAAACAAAGAATAAAAAGTAACCTGTTCGCCACGACAAACAATTTGCAAACGACATCAGTTGCTGCGAACAGGTCAGCGTAATTTGCTTGAGACACGTTTTAAAAGCATCAAACAAACAATAAGAAACATCAATAGCAGAAGAGAAAAACTAGTTTACAAATGCATACAAATTTTATGTAAATTAACACAAATTCTTACAAACGAACCAAAAAAAACAAATTTTTAAAAAAAGTTAGTTGAACAAAATAAGCCAAACCAGCCAGACAATGACATATCACCATTAAACATAGAAATATAATAAACAACTATAAACTGTTATTCAAATTAACAACAACAATGATATAAACATTACGCAATAAGTATAAACAAAACATCACAAACAAAAAACAAATCATAAACAAAGAAATAAAACATAAACAAAGAAACAAGACCAAAAACAAAAACAAAACAATTAAACCAAGTTGACAGACAAAGACATCGGAGCGTGCATCCATCGAAATACAAAACAATCAAGAGAAATGACGTCACCATTCATCAAGTCATTTCCATCACGTGACCGAAAATTTTATTATCCATAAAAGATTAAATATAAAAAAAGGTTGTTTGATGTGAAAAAAACATTTTAGAATTTAATTTAATAAAGAAAGTAAGAATAATAATAATAATATATTTAATAATAATAATAACATATTAATATTATTAATTATAAACATAGTATAAATAATAGTGTGAATAACAACAGCAAAGCTAATAATAAACCACTCGTTAAACATTACAGAATAGGCTATGTTTCAATATTATTATAGCAATTATTATTCTCAGTGTTATTGTTCTTATTATTATTAATAATATTGTTATTTATATTTTTTCTCATTATTATTATAATTATTTATTTATAACTCATTTGTTCAGCTCTGTTTATTTTTCAAAATAACCCCAACATTTTGTCCAAATAAGCGGAACACACACACGCACATACACAGAAAGAGAGAGAGAGATGGAGAAAGAGATAATGAAAAAGAGAGAGAGAGAAAGAGAGAGAGAGAGAAAGAAAAACACACACACGCACATACACAGAAAGAGAGAGAGAGATGGAGAAAGAGATAATGAAAAAGAGAGAGAGAGAAAGAGAGAGAGAGAGAAAGAAAAACACACACACGCACATACACAGAAAGAGAGAGAGAGATGGAGAAAGAGATAATGAAAAAGAGAGAGAGAGAAAGAGAGAGAGAGAAAGAAAAACACACACACGCACATACACAGAAAGAGAGAGAGAGAGATGGAGAAAGAGATAAAGAAAGAGAGAGAGAAAGAGAAAGAGAAACATACACACGCACATTCACAGAAAGAGAGAGAGATGGAGAAAGAGATAAAGAAAAAGAGAGAGAGAAAGAGAGAGAAAGAGAGAAACACACACACGCACACAGGCACGCATACATTCGGACAAAAAACAACAAATAATAATTTTGGTTATATTTTTATCATTGCACATGCATGGATAGGAAATATGTTTATGTGATTTTTATAAAAGTTATATTAAATACATAATTATTATTTTTTTTGGACCCTAGACATAAAATGTGACGAAAAAAATTATACAGAATGAAAAATGAAAAAAAAAATAAAATAAAAGAACCAAAAACTTAATCAAATTTTGTATTAAGACCGTATGCAAACAAATGGAAAAATAAATGCAAACATACAAAAATGTATGAAAAATAAAAAATTTTATAAAAATACATGTAGACATGGAAGCGATATTTATGGTTAGACAGGCGCGAAATGTACATCCATAGTTTCCGTGCATGTTCACAATATAATAGGCGGTTTGTTTGTATGTGTATCTGTCTGTCTGTCTGCTTGTGTTCTGTCTGTTTGTCTATCTGTTTGTCTATCTGTCCGTCTGTCTGTTTGTAAAAGTTTTAATGTTTTTGTGTGTATCAAAATATGTGTGTAAGTAATTGCTTGTCTGCATAATTGTGTGTGTATGTTTTTTAAATTTTTAAATTTTTCTGGGCGTTTTTTTAGTTTATGAATTAGTGTATGTTTAATTTTTTGATTTGTTTGTTTGTGTACATTTATCTTTTGAATCAATTTTTTGTTTGTATGCGTCTTCTGTACGGATCATCTTCATAACTGTCGGGACGCATCTGCATTCACGAGTAAATCTTTTGTAGTGCAGAAAAAAATGGATATGACATAGACGTCTTTGCTTGTTTTTAGTTTGTTTTTGTATGTTTTTGTACGTTTTTGTACGTTTTTGTATGTTTTTGTTTATTTTTTTCAATTAAATTTACAGTACAGACATCTATTTTTTTGTAAAAAAAAATAGTGTTTTAATTTTAAAAAATATTTAATTGTAAATAAAATTTGAAAAATAATGTTTTGTCTCATTCATTTTATAGTGTACATAACTTATGCTAGCTAGAGATAATTTAAACAAAACCATCAAACAAATAAATAGTTGTAAAATTTTCCATCATTACAAACACAAACATATTCACACACACGAACAAACAAACAAACACACACACACGAACACACACGCAAACAAACACACACACACAAACACATACAGGTTCATGCATACATACAACATTTATCCGGAACGCTGAATATTAAGTATGCAATGTACACATCAACACACACACACACAACACTTTTGGACATTGTTTGTATTAGGATGTTGTGTATACGTACACTGGAGTGTACGTTTAAGGACTCCATCTTGTCCATTTTATCTTGTATGCTTTACATTAATCTGTGTACGTGTGTGTCTGTGTGTGTTTGTGTGTGTCTGTGTGTGTTTATGTGTGTCTGTGTGTGTTTGTGTGTGTGTGTGTGTATGAGGGTTAGTGTATGTGATTGTTTGTATGTTTATCCAAGTTTGCATGTTCTGCCTGTTGTTGGTTGTTTCATTTTTTACTTTTAGAATATTTTTCAGCTTATAGTAAAAAAATGATCAAAATGAATTTTTTTTCAGAATATTGTTCAGCTTATAGTAAAAAAATAACCAAAAAATAGTTTTTATTTTTTCGTCTGTATATTTTTTTTATTAAAAACTAACTAATTGAAAATATTTACGAAGTGAGAAGCATAACAACATCGTTAGGAAAAGATAGGTGGGAAAATGGATGTAGCAAAATGGGCTGGCTGTTGCATAATTTTATTTTTTTCATTTTTCTTTAATTTTTTTTTCAAAATTCATCTTCCCAAATGATAAATGGTTTTTTTGCATTTGGGAACCATATTTCATTTTCTGAATTTTGAAGGAGGAAAAAAATTACAAAAAATTAATCTCTAACTTTTTTTTAGAAAATCGTACCATCTGAATGTAGTAGTAGCGGAGAGAGTAAGAAATAGTAATTGAGGAAATGTTAAAAGTAGCTGTGTGTAGTTGTAGTAGCTGTGTAGATTGTAGAAACAATAGTTCTAATAGTAGTTATGAGTAAAAGCAGTTTTATTAAGTTATAGTTGTAGTACAGCAATAATGAATAACTATAAGAAGATAATAAATATTTATAAAAAACATTATTGAGAATGGTCACCCTTGACAAAAATACGTAACAATCTTCAGTTTTTAACAAAAATATTTTGAAATTATTGTAAAATTGTCGTAAATAACTCATTTTATTTAGGAGTGATAGTTGTTAGCATCCAACGAAACGAAACAAAACGTTACCTAGCAACACAAACTTATGAACGATAGCAAAACATGCGTTAGTTGTTGGAGGAGTTATTTTCTGAAAACAGTCACAACAAAAATGTTTGATTATAGCCCTTTAATGATCAGTATGGTTATCAGTCGAAACGACAGATAGGAAGGGGCGCGAGTTTGTTTGACCTCTCAGACGATGGCGAGCGAGGCTTTCTGAAATCGAAGATTCTGAGATGGAAGATCCAAAATATATTGACAAGCAGTAATAAAAGCAGTAGTAGTATAGTAGTAGTCGTAGTAGTAGTGGTAGTAGTAAGTAGTAGTAGTAGTAGAAGTAGTAGTAGTAGTAGTAGTAGTAGAAGAAGTAGTAGAAGTAGTAGTAGTAGTAGTAGTAGTAGTAGTAGTAGTAGTAGTAGTAGTAGTAGTAGTAGTAGTAGTAGTAGTAGTAGTAAGTAGTGGTAATAGCAACAGTAATATAAAAATTTAAAAAATTTTGACAATAATAAATAATAATACATAATAAATTAATAATGAATATATAATAAATTAATGATAAATAATATAATAAACTAAATATATTGATTAAAAAATGAAAAAACGAGACCTAAAACATAAAAAAATATACAATGAAAACATTAATTTTCACATAATGGGAACTCTTTTATTTTTTCCAAAAAAGAGGCGAAATAAATATTCAGTGAAATAAAATAAAATAAAATGAATTAAAATGAGAAAGTAGTCTACGATGCTCGCCATTATAGATATAAAATGCGTACAACGAGAAATGTAATCAGTCTTAATATAGTTATTATACATTTGAATGTCTGTCTATTATAATAATAATAATAATAATATATTATTATTATTATATATAATAAATTTATCCATTTTATTTATTCCCAATATATGACGTAGCATTTCTCAATTGGCCGGCCGGCGTATAGCAAAGAGCAACGAACCACAAAACAAGCGTCCCATCACTCCACAAATGTCGTAACGCTTCCAAGAATTAACTATTCACTTCATCAACGGAGAGAAAAAAAACAAATATGGCCAAAGGCTGACACGTGACTGTTAAACCGGAAATGATCGATGGATGCGTTTTATTGGCGCGTTCCGATGTTTCTGTTTTCATTTACCCGTGTTGCTGAATTTATTTAAGCTTGTTTTTGGTTTGGTTTTGTTATTTTAATTATTGTTGTTGTTGTTGATGTTGTTGTTGTTGCTGCTGCTGCTGTTGTTGTTATTGTTGTGTCTTTAACGCTTTTATAGTGTTGTCGCTGCAATGTTGGGCCAGGTTTTTGTTTACATTGAAGTTTAAAGTTCATTAAAGTGTTCGTGCCCTTATTAAATTTTATATTAAGACGACTGTGATTATGTTTTTGTTGCTGTTGAAGCTGCTGTTGCTACTGCTGTTGAAGCTGCTGTTGCTGCTTCTGAAGCTGCTGTTGCTGCAGTTTAAGCTGCTGCTGCTGCTTTTGCCGCCACTGCAAAATTTTTATTGTGATTGAGTAATTAACGTTTTGACAGTTTTTTTTACTCCATTTTTTATCACATTTACAATATGGCGTCTAGTCACGCGCGCATTATGTGACGTCATCTTTTTTTTGTTGCCGTAGCTTTTGCAGTTACATCTACCGACATTAATTTTAGTTTTGGGTGTTTGTAGTTTTTTCTCACCGCATGGCGTTGTTTTGTTTCGCATCATCATTAACATTGACGTCATAGCATCCATCATAATCTTCATCTTTATGTGAGATTATACATCAATATTATTTGTGGCATAATTTTTCGTATAAACACCACCACCATCACCATCAGAACAGCCACCACACCAGTAATTCCGACTAACTCCCAATTTGTTTCCGGCGGTGTCAAGTCTCCAATGGTGGTAAGGGTAAGAGTGGACCAGTACAATGACCTCAGGTACTTTTGGGCCACGGAAGAGTGATTTCCAATAGGACGAGGATAACTCCAACTGGTCTCAAAATTTTCCGCCTGTTAAATTGTTTTAAAATCTTAAAAAATAATAATAAATAATTAAAAATATCTTTATGATAAAAAATAAAGAACAGCATACTGACGGTCATAATGTAGTGATTGTTAAACCTGAAGCATGTCATGACATTTAAATATGTAAAAGTAATTAATATTCATGAGACCTTGGAGATGAGGTAATAGAAAGCGGCGAACCAATGGCAGCCGAGGAAAAGGACATGTGACAGGTTGACCACACGCCATAGGTTGGGGTAGGCGGTCCTTGTCTCCACCATGTAAACAAAACGGTAGATGCGGTATGCCTTGAGAAATCTCATAAATCTGATTGCGATGGTGGTGATGAAGATGGTGATGGTGACAACGACGACGAAGATGATGAAGATGGATGATGGTGATGACGAAGACGAAGATGATGATGGTGATGATGGCTTGATATCATTATCTTCACCTCAACAAACATACGAGCATTCAATGGAACATATTCTTAAAGACTTGCTCAGGCTCAGCGGACGTCGTTAAATCAATTGAATAATTTATAATAAGAAAAAATTCAGACTCACGTACACACAGACAAACAAACACACACAAACAAACTCTACACAAACAAACACACACCACACACACACAAGCACACACAAACACACACAGAAACGCATTGACACAAAAACAAAACAATATCTACATTAAGAGACGAAACGATGAACAGCAGAAATGCAGAGCAAAAAATGCACGTTAAAAAATTAACGAAGAGAAGAAAAAAGACATCATAAGTTCTCGTTAAATCACGGCGTATCTCTCTGCGGCACGCGTATTTTCCAGTCCCTCGCCCATCCCTTTTCGTTACGTCATATCCTCTGATTCATGACGTAACCGTCCTATAATATTATCGTTTGTTTATTTTTTGACCGTTTACGTTTATCTATTCACTCATCTTAATGATTGATTGAATAATTAATTGATTAGATGGCTGGCTGGCTGCATGGCTGATAGATTGATTGGTTAATTGGATGGCTGGCTGGCTGGTTAGCTGATTGATTGATTAGCTGCTTGGCTGGTTAGTTGGCTGATTGATTGATTGGTTGAATGGCTGGCTGGTTGGCTGATTGGTTTTTTTGGTTGGTTAATGAGCTGAATAAATGTAACTCTTTTTTATTATAATCTAAATTAATTTATTGTATATTTATTATTATTTTTTATTTATTTTTCGAGTTTACGTTTATTATTATGGATTCAAAGTACCAACAAATATGAACAAAAATGTGTGTGTGTTTGCTGTATGTGTGTTTGCGGTATTTGTGTGCGTGTGTTTGTGCCTGTGTGTGCGCGTGTTCGTGTTTATGTGTCTCAATAAGTTGAATGAAACCATTAAAAACAATTTTTTGATAAATTTTTTCAGAATAATTTGATAAGAAGATGTTGGTACGAACAAAGAAATATGTAGCGGTATTTGTTTCATTATATTCTATCTATGTACTTCTCTCTTGGGTATTATCATTCTTTGGTATTCTAGCGATAATACGCGAACTCATTAATATTAAATAAGGAGAGGTATTCCGTACTTTTGTGTATTTGTATGATCTTCTTTGAATTTCTTTGAATCATTTTTTATCGTTACATGTGCTTCACAATCCTCACTACCAGCATCATCATCATCATCGTTGTCATCATGAATGAATGAATGAACGAACGAATGAATGAATGAATGAAAGAATGAATGAATAAATGAACGATCGAATGAATGAACGAACAAACGAATGAATGACAGATAATAATCGCATTTATTGAATTTAAAAAGCGAGGCGTAAAAAGATTGTCCAGCACTGTCCATCATAAATAGAAAGATAAAAAAAACGAATGAATGAATGAATAAATGAATTAATGGATAAATGAATTAATGGATAAATGAATGAATGAATGAATGAATGAATGAATGAATAAATGAACGAATGAATGAATGAATGAATGAATGGATGAATGAATGAATGAATGGATGGATGAATGAATGAATGAATGAATGAATTGAACGAATGAATGAAAGGATGAATGAAAGAATGAATTAATTAAAAAAGGAATGAAAGATAGAAGGAAGAAACGAATGAATGAATAAGAAAAGATGATCGCATTTATTGAATTTATTTGAATTTCATTATGGCGGTAATCAAATTTCTACATGGAGGTATTTTTCTTTTTTCTACATTTAATTTTTTGTATCAACCTACATTTATTTATACTATTCATTCATTCATTCATTCATTCATTCATTCATTCATTCATTCATTCATTCATTCATTCATTCATTCATTCATCCATCCATTCAAAATTTTATTTTTTTATTGCAATAGTTTAGGTGACTAAATGGATGCTTTTATTTATTTATTTCCCACTGAATGCGCACGTCTTCTCTATGACGTCATTTGCGTCAAACATGGCGTCCGATCTGTGAATATAGAGATGGATGAATCGACTCTATTCGATTGGTTGGCTGGTTGGTTGGCTGGTTGGTTGGCTGGTTGGTTGGTTGATTAATTAGTTGGTTGACTGGTTGGTTGGCTGGTTGGTTGGTTGATTAATTGGTTGGTTGACTGGTTGGTTAGTTTGTTGGTTGGTTGGTTGGTTGGTTAGATGGTTGACTGGTTGGTTGACTGGTTGGTTGGTTGGTTGGTTGGTTGGCTGGTTGGTTGGTTGGTTGGTTGGTTGGTTGGTTGGTTGGTTGGTTGGTTGGTTGGTTGGTTGGCTGGTTGGTTGGTTGGATGGTTGGTTTGTTGGATGGTTGGTTGGCTGGTTGGATGGTAGGTTGGTTGATTTGTAAACTGATTAGTTAAATGGTTGTCTTGTTGGTTATTCGGTTGGTTAGCCGGTTGATTTTTTATCGTTCTTATAATCACTGTCGTATCCGACATCATCATCTGCAGCAGCAGCAGTTGTAGTAGCGATATCAACGTCTTCATCATCATCGTCGTCGTCTTCTTCATCATCATCATCAGCAGCAGCGGCAGCAGCATCATCGTCATCATCTTATTTATTACCGCCAGTCTTAACGCCATCATCTGTGTCGCGATATTGCACGAGATATTTTTCAATTTGCCTTTGATCTTTAGCATCATCATCATCGTCGTCGTCACTATCATCATCATCGTCACTATCATCATCATAATCATCGTCATCATTATCATCATCATCACCATCATGTTTGTCGTCGTCATCACCATCACTATCATTATCATAACCTGAGTATTGGATGACTTGGAAAGTGAATCTGCAAGAGATCCAAGGGAGTGAGAGATGAGACATCAAGGAGGAAGTTTCGAGATCTGGTGTAATTTCTATGGTGGTGGTGATGATGATGATGATGATGATGATGATGATAGTTATGATGATGATGATGATGATGATGATGATGATAGTTATGATGATGATGATAGTTATGATGATCACTACTCACTTGGCCAATTTCTTGCCATCGTAGACAATCAACCCCTTCTCCAGGTAGCCCGTTCTGAACTGGACGATGACGTCACACAAGTAAACGAGGTCACAGATGACGTCAGTGACCAGCCAAAAAATGGGACACGCGTCATTAAGTTCCGGAAACGCTTCTCTGGCGATTGGCGTCCAAAGATTATAAAGAACCGCAACTGTAACAAGCCCGAGCCAGTAAAATAAGAAACAGCCGTCCGGTTGAATGACCGGGAATGAAGTTTCACTTTCGTTTTCGATTGAGCATGGAAAACACTTGAAGGTTTTTCTCCAGCGGGATTTTCCAGAAGTGTTACGATCATCATCATAATCGAACGATGATGCTGTTGAAAATCGTTTGCTGTGGCTGCTACTGAGGGGGAGGGGTGGTGATATGTTGTCGCCAGGTGGCAGGTTTGGAGATAAGAACATTTTGTCGTTGCTGTTGTTGTTGTTCGAGGTAGCGTTAGTCGATGTTTTGTTGATGTTGACGTGTATATTGTTGTTGTTGTTGTTGTTGTTGTGTGGATGATGTTGTTGCTGATGCGTCTGTCGAACTTGTAACGCTGAATGTGCTGACAGTGATTTGGAATGATACTGATGTCGATGTATGTGTTGTTGATCGTTGACTTTATAATTATTATTATTGTTGTTGTTATTGTTGTTGTTGCTGCTGCTGCTGTTGTTGTAGATGTTGAGTGTTTGTGTTGTTGTTGACCTGGGGACGTGATGGTGATGGGACGGAGTGGTGGACGGATGGGTGCTAGTGGTAGTTATTACCTGGTGTGTGTGTGTGTGTGTGTGTGTGTGTGTGTGTGTGTGTGTGTGTGTGTGTGTGTGTGTGTGGATGAAATGGATATGGGTGGAATAATGGATGTGGATGGATCGTGAGAATGAATAATTGAATGAATGATTGATTAGGTGGATAAATGGATGCATGATTGAATGAATAAATGAATGCCTGATTATATGAATGAATAAAAAAAAACAAATGAGCGAATGATTAACTTAATGAATAGAATAAGTCTGGATAAAAAATTTTTATAAAATAATTTTATCGGTAACACACAACTACTTCAATCTTAAAATCAATAACTCAATTGTATGCCTATCATGTTCTATGCCTATCATCATCTCTATTTCATTCGTGTAGCACTCACTCAGAGAAATAGTGAGAGAGGGATAAAAAGAGAAAGAGAGAAAGAAAGAGAGAAAGAGAGAGAGAGAGAGGGAAAGAAACAAACTTATAGTTGTACAAATACATTATAAGAGAACTAATAATCCCAAAAAACAACGCATATACTTTGCTATAATAATATTATTATTCCTACATGATCCCACATCTGTTGCTACTATTATCTTCACGGGTGTTGCTTTACTACGAAAACTGTTACTACAGTTGTAACAGTTGTAATGTTACTAAAATGGGAAAAATTTTTCAAAAGGGAAAAAATGGAAAAATGAGTGGGAGGATGCTGAAGAGAGTTACTTCCGTGTGTCAGATGCTGATAACAAATAAATTGAGATCCATACAATCGATAGCGACGTCAAATCTCCTTTTCTCTTCCTTTTGTTCTCTATCTCTTTCTTTCTATCTTTTTTTTCTAGCAGTCTGTCCTTTTTGTTGTTTTATTCTTTATCTCTTTTTAATTTTTTCTCTTTCTCTCTCTCTCTCTCTTTCTCTCTATTTTATTCTTTTTTTTACAATTTGTGGTCGTATTTTTTTATTTTCACCCTTAATTATCTCATTCTCTCTCTTTCCATCATCTCTTTTCTCTGCCTTTTTCTTCATTTTTTATTTTCACTTTCAGAGCAGTGAAAAATGAGCAAAAAAAAATATTATGAAGGAAAAAGTGAACAGAAACGAATGAAAAAAATTAAAGATTGAAAAAATCAGAAAATGTTTTTTGCGGCCTACTTTATTCAAATTCTTTCTTTTAACTTTTATTTGTTTTTACGATACTCATGCCTAATTCCATCAAGACACACACGCACGCACACATACACACTCACTCATACACACATACACAAACAAACACACACACAAACTTCAAAAAATAAC